TATATTGTTGCCCTCCAACATATGGGAACCTTTTCTCCGTAAATGGTCTATGTTTGAAGGTTTTTTTTATAGGTAAAGGTTTTTTTTAAAGGTGAATGTTGTTTATAGCAGGTCCTAAGAAGATTCTGCATAGAAGGCCTGCAGAAGGTCTTACACATAATATAAGGCGTTCTATTAAAACTAGACATCCAATCTAAAAAAACCTATCTTCTGATTACCTTTAGAAGATATTCCATCTATAGGACCCCTTAAAAATTTTCACATATAAAATACCCCATAGTATACCTACCACATATCTCCTCCGCCACAATACCAAACACCTAGCACTGTAAACATATGGTAGACCAACAACAAAACCAATTCTTCCGCTTTTGCTATTCACACCAATTTTTTAATTTTTTTGTTCATTTAATTTCATATCATATTTTTTAACAGCGAAAAAATTCTATGTAATTGGTTTTATAACACAATAAAATGTTGATATCAAATTTTATTAGGTTTTGTTGGTATAAAAAATTGCACTTCCATTCGGAGCATTGTGGGTTGTCTGTGGTGGTGGTTTAAATGATTTTGAAATTTTGTATTTCGAAAAAAATTCACCCACAACCAAAACGATGATGATGATGACAAATTCTTGTCTGTGGTTTACATGGGATTAATTAAGAAATTAACACGAAGAACTGAATTTAGAACAACTTAGCATATATCATTTTATAATTATTCCCTAATGGTCTGGTAATTTTTTGTTTCTCAAGGCCAATTAGGATAAGGTGGGAGGAAAACAGGCAGGGGAATAGATAGTTTGTTTTTTTTTATGGGATTTTGTCACATTAGATATGTTTTAAATGGGTATTTAACATGTAAAGTAAAAATAGGAGAGAATGAATATTTGAATTTTATTATTTTATTTTGAGATCTAAAAATTTAGAGTCAATATCATTTAAGACTTCATAGTAGCTATCTTGGTTGTCCAGCGGTTCATTAAGGCCTTGCCTATCGGTTTCAGTCTTTCGAGGATTTACCACTGATGAAGTTTCGGTTAACGCTTGATTAGTTGGTTCTATTCTGGTCGAGTCATTTGTGATATATGATCGTTCTGTATCTGGTGCGCTTGTATGTGCTGTTCGTTCTCTTGTGTTTTGATTCGATTGGTTATCCGGAATTAAAATGTCAATATCATTAGTCATTGCTACTACTTATAGAATGTTTAGTATTGCAAATGGGGTATATTGATCAGAGTTTTGGTGTAGCCTCCATATGACGACATATAACTATTTTCGGTATTTTGAAGGTTTTAGTCCCATTTGTTCTCTTATAGTACATATTTCTAAACCGACCTCCATATATCAACACTACACACGATTTCTGGCCGAAACATAAATCTAGCTATATAAAAAATTGCGTACCATTTTTGTACTCTTGTAGTACTTATTCTACATTTCTTAATTCATAGGTTCATAGGTTCACTCCAATCCTACACCCCAACAAAAATTCTAACTCGAAATTTCAGGATTACAGCTCCACTTTTCGTACACATATTAACAAATATCTAAAATTGCCTACATGTGCCAATCTTACACTCCGACAGTAGTGTTAGTATCAATTTTCAGGATTCCAGCTACACCCGTTCCTCAAAAATTCAAATTGTAGCAAATTTAGTACCGTTTAGTACTTTTCCTTTACACGAGTACACACTTTCAGAACCACCTCCTTATATCAACCCTACTTCTCAACATTGATTTGCATTCCAAATGTAATGTTGTAAGCTCTATCCGATCACATGCTACCATATTGTAACAAATTTAGTACATTTCGAATATTTGTAGTTCAAATTTTCAAAAACCCTATGGTACATCTATCCTAAACTCCATCAGTGACCCTCATTCGAAATATAAGAGTTCTAGTTCTACAGGCTTCGTACTTCTTAATACTTTTCGCGCCATTCTAGTATGATTTTCCAAAAAATCAGTGTTTTCTGACACTTTGGTCTAAGACTGATCTTTATCCCAAATTTCAAGATTCTAGCTTCAGCCGTTTTGTCTGGGCGTTGATAAATCGTTAAGTCAGTCAATCACTTTACTCTTTTATTAATATAAATAAAGCAGTTTTTAACGCTTGTTACAGCCGAAGTGGCTGACGAAGCGATGACTCAAATCCTAGATAGTCCTCTTTATTTACAACATCCAACACGTCTTTTTGGGTCTCCTATTTTATTTTCCCGTTCGCACTATTTTTGCGAACACTGTATAGCATAACTCCTAGCAATCTTTGCATAAGAGGGCAGTTCCTTTGAAATTGTTGGTACATTCTTCCCCTTTGGTAATGTCCGACTTCTATGTTCATTGATGACTCAAATTATATCATTGAATTCGGAGCTTTCATCACATGCTCATCATGTCCATGTTATATCCGGTCCTTACGGAAAATTACGATGTAGCCCTCAGTCGATGGATTCTCATGGCAGTCGCTTTTAACTTCAGGTTGGCTTCTCTGTTTTCCCTTTATATCAGCCGATAGGAAGCCATTTTTTACAAGTTTGGCGTTCGTCTGCTCTTCCAGAGATCCAATTTTTTAGTCGTTAATTCTTTTGAGCATCAGTTGCTGTTTACGATTGTTCCTTCAATTTATCCCGGTCAGTTTTTGACTTGGTGCCCCTGTTAATTGATTCTTTCTTATTGAGAGCTGTTTGCTCACTACCTCTACCATCCTATCAGCCTCTTCCCTCCATCGGCATTCTAATATGTTTGTATTTGTCATAACCTGTGTTCAGAGTCGGAATTTTAGTTTATTTTCCCGCCTGTTTCCAAAGGTCGGGTCGAGATTGCTCTTCTCCTGTGGTCCTTAAACTCAGATCTAATTTTTCTCGTTGGCTGCGGTACCTTGACTACAAATTCCAAGATATCCACGTCACATGGGCAAATCAACGACACTCGCCGGTACCGAGTTATTTGGGCCCTGCACCATAACTTTATTCTTTTTCGTACTTTTCATGTGCTTTTTTGTTTTAGGGGAAGACATCCATAGTCAGTTTTAGTCCGCGGGGACAACGCCTTCAAATTCTACTGATCGTAATAGATAAGTGTAATCAATTTTGTGATAAATTCTGTGCATGTAAAATAAATCCCACACATCTTCTTATGGAAGAAATCACGTCTGCCATTGTGGCGTATACGTGGTGTCAGTACTTATACGCCCGATGGTCGCATATGATTTTTTGGCATACGGACATATAACTCCATCGGAATCTACTATATTTGTGTACTCTCCATCATAGTATGGTAGATTTTTCTTATTAGTCCACGTTTTTGATAGATCAGATAAAAATTTTGAGATGAAGTGGACCGAAAACTTAATTTTTTTATGTTTTTTTTTCGAGTCGATCTAGGCCACAATTATAATCCGCACATCACAACACAATCCACGGTGGAGGGAATCTGGACAAGTAATTAGAAGTGTTGTACTAAATATTGGGAATATTCGGAAAATATGTCAGTGTAAGGAAAAGGTGCTGTTGATCTCTAATGGGGCAAAAGGGTGCAACTATCACGAAATATTGCCGAGGTTAGAGTTCCGTGGTAGTTGTATAAGGTATCGTATGGTCGGCCCGTCTAACTATACTGCTCCGCTCACTGGTTTTTTTGTTAGGGTAATACTGTCATAGTCAGTTTTGGTCCGTGGACAATGCCCAAAACTTGGTTGATCAAACTATACAAACCATATTCAGACCTCCAGATGCAACATATTATAATAGATTAGTTCGATATTTTTTTGATTAAAATCCACGTAAAATCATAGGAGAAAATCACATATACCATTGTGGCGTATACGTGGTGTCAGTAATTATACGACATATGGTGCCATGGACTGTTATCTTTGACATACGGCCATATACATCATCGGAAGTGGATATATGTATATACTCTCCGCAAGAGTAAGGTGGACGAATCTTTGGTTACAAGCAAGCTCGATGGTGTGCTTTATCAGTCCACGTTTTTGGGTAGTCCCAGTATAACGGTAACCTTAAATATGAGATATTTTATTCTACCAAATATTTGGCCCCCATAGAACGGTGCCTTTGGAGCACGTTTTTTGAACCAATGGGTTCAATGGCCCAAAATTTCAGAGTAGCCCCATATATGGGTACCCTTCATTATTCTGTATATTGGGAGACTTTGGAACGTTTTTTCAACGGAATTGGGTCTTATTTAATATATTGGATAATGGATATTCATTGCCCCATTTGGTATTTTTGTTTTTGCTGTCCCTCTTCACAATTTTTTTAATTTCAAATTTTTAACAACAATTCAACTGTACAAACAACTAAAGTTTATATTTTTTTGCAATTTCCTCTTTATACGCAGGAAAGATTTAACAAATTGCGGCAAAACAACATCAGCATCAACATCTCGAGAGTATGTCTTCTTCAGAATATAACATGATGATGACCTCAAGGGGTGATGTTGTGGTGGCTATATAAAGAAAAAAAAAAAAACACCGACTAATTCTGTAAAAATCAAGCTTGTACAAAAGCTTAGTGTTGTAATAACAAATCGCATACACATACAAATACACTGTTAATAAAACATCAACGATTTTGTAACTAACAAAATTTTATAAAAAAAAAATTAACTCCACATCATTTTGTAAAAAAAGCTAAAAAACGAAGACGCAATGATTTGGATAAGTTGCTGCTTTAGCTGTCTCCATTACTATTCTTCTTTGTTTTCATCATTTTGTATAAAACAACAACAACAATATTAACCACAAAAAATTGAGAAATCCAAAAATCTATGGCATTGATGGTTTGATTGAAACCCCCAAAACAAACTTCAAACAACGCTGCGAACTTGCTTAACTAGCCCAAAAAAAATTATAAAAAAACTGCATAAAAACAAGAGACTCATCGGACCTAAAAAATCCCAGCCACATCCCCTATTTGCTGAAACAGGGGAGGGTAACTAACTGAAAAAAGCAACAGCAGACATACCCAAAACTGCAACATGCATACAAACAAATATCTAAATAACAAAACGTCATACAATTCATCAACATCGTCATCATCATCACCACCACCAACAACATCATCGCCCTTAACCTCATTAACGTCATCATCATTATCTCCATCATCATCGACAACATTTGATGTCGATCATTCACATCCATATCAGCGCAGCCATTATTTATCGCAACATTCCTCATACCATTCTCATCATCCAACAACACCAACAAACAGTAACAGCAACAACAACAACCATTCATCGTTTGCCTCCTCGATTGATTTAGAACCATACCTAGAAGCCATGGAGGCACGTTCAATGCAGCGTCACCCGGAAACAGATGTCTGGGAAGAATTGCAGCGCAAAGAATCGGACATTTTGCTGGCCGCTGAACTGGGCAAGGCATTGCTCGAAAAGAACCAGGAACTGGTGAAGCAGCATGAAAAGCTAATTGAAGAGAATTCCATTAAAATAGAGGTAAGTGTGGAAAGTTATTTAATTTGTTTCATATTTTTTTTCTTATTAGTAAGTGAAAATATTTGGGGTATTCACATTGTTTGTAGATGACTTAAAAAATGATTATTTAAATTTAATACTAGGAACTAAAAAAAAAATATTGGTAACCCTGATGCTCTTATAAAACAATTGTGAGATAGAAATAAACTATTGAACGAATTCCGAACTAGTAGATTTCGGTCCATATAGCACATTAATTAAAATATTTCATTCATCTTGTTCATGGTTCACAATTTAGTTTGTTGTTCAATTGATCCCCATTCAACTCGTTAATATTTCACTACCTAGTTCGTCGATCAATTCGAACTTTTGGTGCTCGGCATAAGACTGGTACTAGTTTATTCGTGAACTAATAAATTCCATTGTGACCAAAAAGGGTTTCTCCCATCGTCTTTTGACTTTGGATAGACTTTCCGAACACTATACATTTTTATAAACATTTTGTGAACTGAAAAATTGGATCATCACGTCTATTTCACCTGTAGCTGCAAACAGTTCAATTTGATTTAGTAGATTTAGTTCATTGTTCAATAGGTTACCATTGAACTAGTTCATAGTTCAATACCAAGTTCGTCGATCAACTCGAACTTTTGGTGCCCAGCATAAGTGAATACTCCGTTCAGTTAATAAACTGAAATTTAAAGACTAACATTCAATGGAACTAGTTTGTTCTTGAAGTAATAGTCCAAACAGGTTTCTCCGAAAGAAATTGCGCATAAGAAATTAAAATTAGACATAAATTTAGAAATATGAAGAAAAATTGCATCATCACCTCTATTTAAGCTATAATTCCAAACAGTTCAAGGTTAATTAGTAGATTTAGTTCATTGTTCAATAGGTTACCATTCAACTAGTTCATATAGTTCACTACCTAGTTCGTCGATCAATTCGAAATTTTTGTGGCCAGCATAAATGAGTACTGCGTTCAGTTAACAAACTGAACTTTAAAGATTGGCATTCAATGAAACTAGTTCGTTAGTGTACTAAATAATTCTTTTGTGAAATTGGGACCAATTTGCGTTCTCCGAACGAAATTGCACATAAAAAGTAAATTTGGAATATGAAGATGCACGGGAAATATCTTTTGACTTTGTATAGATTTTTTGGAAACTTTACATTTATATTATTTTTTTAACTATTCCACTGGCTCACCACATCTATTTCAACTGTAATTCTAAAGAGTTCAATGTTAGTTAGTAGAGTTGGGTATTTTCGTTCCGAAAGAGTTTGATCTGGGTTGTACGTTTTTAGTAGCGAATTATAAAATAATTATTAGTGTTAATCACTGACTTACACAATTTCAAAGCCTACCATCTTGTCCTATAAAACGTTTGTGAAGAATTGCTGAGTTTTTGATCGACATGTGAACTAGTGTCATATATTTGAGTCCAATAATAGAACTATGTTGCTCATTTGGTTCGTAGTTCACTATTAAGATCATTGATACATCAGTCCTCATTGGTCTCGTTTATAGTTCAGTTCGGTCAAAAAAGAAAAAAAAACTGAACAAAATTGGGTATATAGTCCACTGACCTAGTTCATACGCTCTTTTCAGAGAATAGTTCAATATAACTTCTTTGTTCGTGAACTTAACAACTCTGTTGTGAACTAGTCGCCTAACAGTGACGCGTTCTCCGAAAGAAATTGATCATAGTGGGTCACCCCACAGACATGTGACATGTTCTCTGATCAAAAATTCGGATAAATATCTGATGTTATTCATTTAGTTCCATATTTCAATCGTTCATTGGTATACATCGGTTAATTCGGCCAATAAACGAGAATGCGTAGATGAACGATTGAATCAAAAGGAACTCGGTAAAAGAAATTACCTGACCTAATACCCATCGTTCCTTTTGCAATAAGAAAAAAAGCAATGATAAGCAGTTTGTGTTGAAGTACTTCCCTGGTAACTCACTCAAGACCAGTGAACCATTTAAACTCTATGAAACATTGGGAAGCTAGTGAACCATTGTAGAGAGCTGATGAACCATTATTGAACAAGTAATAATGGTTCCATTATTGTATCGGAAGTTACCACAATTATCTGCATGAACGTTTTGAATTACAATCCTTGAAAACTAGAGTTGGGTCGTCCCAACGAAATTGTTCATTGTAACTATTCCTATAACGAAACGATAGGAATTAGATCCAGTTTTTAGTTCCATTTACTGAACTTGAGATGCTGATACATTGTTAAAAATATGTAAACATATACTCTTTTATTATTGTGTAAATCTTAAAATTATTTATGAAAATAAAATGATTATCGTCCTGCAGCTGAAATCTAAAAACAACTAGAATTTCTTTCCATTTTTACTCAATTTGTTTACTTTTTTAATCCTTCAACGAATCAACACGAAATTCTGCGAACGAAAATAACGATGAAAGAGAGAGATTCCAAGGAACTATCTAGGAATGAGAACCATATTAAGGAACTAGTTCCTACTTAAATCGATCCAATCCATGGTCTAGATGCCCAACTCTATTAGAAACTATCGGAAACTATCGGAACACTGAAACAATGAAGACTATTGAACTGTATTTAACTGGTTAATAACTCATGAACTTGTAAACTATTGATGAGCTGGTGAATCATTTGGGAATAGTGTGAACCATTTACAAACTAGTGAACAATTTGAAAAATGTAGAACTTATTTGGGAACTTTGTGAGTCATGTTGAACTAGTACACCATTGTTACGCTAGTGATGCCCAATAAGAAAAGGTTTGAAAATAATTTTATGCCAGTAAACCTCTAAAAGGGTACTACCCAGGGTTTAGAAATTTAACCTATTTACAATTTTCGAATTTAAGATTATCTTAACAATAATTTGTGAGCCACTTGATGACCAGGTGGACATTTTGTGATCTGCAATTGAAATGGCATATCAAGTATGAACTTTTAAACTTTTCTAAATCTAGAGAACCAATATCGAAGTGTTATGGTGAACTAGTGAAACATTTAGAATTTTTTTGAACAGTTTAGAAAGTAGTCGAACATTGTAAAACGAGTGGTGAGCTTGGACAGAACTGAACCAGTGAAACATTTGGCATGGATAGAACTGAACCAGTGAAACATTTGGCATGGTGAACTAGTTTTTTAATTTTTAGAAATTAGTTGAACATTGTAAAATTAGTAGTGAGCTTGGACAGAACTGAACCAGTAAAACATTTGTGAACTCTGTGAACAATTGGCGGACCTGTAAACGCTTTGTTGATTATTGAATTTTTGCAGAGATATTGCAAGCTTTATGAACAATTGATTAAAAGAAGTGTGGCTACCCATAGGGCAGTAAGTGAACCATTTGGAAACTTGTAAATACAAAAACAGCTACGACCATGAATTAAATTGCGAATCCTTTGTGATAGCGATCATTTTGGCAACTAAAAGTGGCAAAACCTCTAATGAACTATTGAACCTTTATCAATCAGTGAACTTTTAGAGAACTATTGAACCATTTATGAAGTAGTGGTTAATTGAAGCATGGGTAAAAATATGGGTGTTGGTGAACTTTTTCGGATCGTGAGCTAGGTTTCGAATCATTTGTAAACTATAGAACTATTCACAAGAAATATGGATTCAGTGATTCCCCTTTAAATTTAGAATATGAACTAAATTTTCAATATCGTTTAAGTTAGTACACCGGATTGGAACCAGTTGATATTCCCAAATTTAGATATAAGGGTATTGTGAAAGTTTTTTTTTTTTTTTTATCAGAGATATTTGTCGTCTTCTCTATATATAAAAAAATACATAACGGTATTTTTTACATCGACGAAGTAAGATATACTCTGTGAATGATTCAGTGGGTTTTGATAAAATCTTATTTGATTCAAGGATGGAACACTTATTTTGAATATTCTTAAAATATAGTTTTTCTGAATTTTTTTTCGAACTACTTTCAAATTTTATATTACATTTTGAATGCCTCTATGCATGTTTTGAAGAATTCGGTGCTTTTATCCTTTAGATGAAGACTAGCCTTGGATTCCTCCGTATTAATGAATAACTATGAGGGCTTTTCTGAGTAGATGGGGACCTCAGAGGTCTACTGCGTATGCGAAGCCCACTAATCTTCTCTCTGTATAGAGAAATGCCACTTAGATATTATCGGTGCAGATGAATAACGCAGAGGTCATCTCTTTATACCTCTGAGGACTTCTCGGTATAGAAGAAAATTTCTGAGACATTCCCTGTATAGATAAAGACCTCTGAGGTTATCTCTATATAGATGAATATCTCGTCGGTCTTCTCCGTATAGAAAAATACCTCTGAGGCCTTCATCGATATGTTCTCAAAAATATGAGGTATTTATTAGCATATACTCCAAAAATTTACCACTATTTCATAAACTCACTATTTTTATACCCTCCACCATAGTATGGAGGGTATATTAGTTTTGTTTTTCCGTTTGTAACGCATCGAAACAATCATTTCCGACCCTATAAAGTATATATATTCTTGATCAGCGTAAAATTCTATGACGATTTAGCCATGTCCGTCTGTCTGTTGTAATCACTCTAGCGTCTAAACGAATTGAGATAGAGCCTCAGGCAGGTCAAGTTCGAAGATGGGCTATATCGGTCCACGTTTAGGCATAGCTCCCATATAAGGGTACCCCCAAATTTCGGTATTTTGGGGTTCTTGAGCGTGTTTTTCAACCGAATTCGCTGAAATTTGGTACTTTGAGTTCTTATTGGGTAGCAAATCTGCCCACTAAAAATTATAAATATAGGTCAATTTTTTCTGGTACCCCCCATATAACGGTACCCCTCAATTTTCCGTATTTTGGGGTTCTTGAGCGCGTTTTTCTACCGAATTCGCTGAAATTTGATACATTGATTTATATAACCGGTTTGTGGAAATGTCGACATAGGTCCACTTTTTGGTATTTTCCCTATATTTTCATTTCAAGTACCTGTCAGTATATCTATGGTGGAGGGTATCCGAACTTAACGC